CTCAGAACTAATAAATTTCAAAAGAAAATTTCTATCCTGATGGGTTTGAAATCCCATTTCCAGGTCCTAAAGGAGAGGCTGGTGTTATGGGGATCCCAGGGCCACCAGGAGTTGTTGGGCCTCAAGGTCCAAAAGGCCAGAAAGGAGAGAAGGGTAGGTAACTCACTTCATTTCATGTCAAGGGACATTTTACATCATTTTTCAGGAAAGCAATTTGCTAAGTGAATACCAGAGTCTTGAAGGTGGGTCAATTTTTTGAAAATGTAAATATTGGTGAGGGATATTATGAGTTATATTTCATATAGAAATGCTAACTTTATAAGTAGCTAATTAAGAGATTTTAAACTTAGGAATATCTCTCACACCCACAGGCACACACACAGGCACACACTAACACACAAAGCGCACACACAGGCACACACTAACACACAAAGCGCACACACAGGCACACACTAACACACAAAGCGCACACACAGGCACACACACACACACGCATACAGCTTTTCCACCTCTCATTGGCCACCGGGCTGTCCCAGGGACTGGAAGCCACAGGGTGTAGTCTCTGGGGCAGGGTCCCTTCCTGTACACTCCTATATGAGCTCTTCCTTATGATGCAAATAATTTTGTCCTAGATAAAACCAACTAGAGCAGGCGATCTTCTAGAATATTCAGCTTAGGTGAATAGCTTGCCTGCTAAAGAGAATTGGACATATCCTTGGGAAAACTGTGAAATCAGGGGAAAACTCTGAAATCACAAACTGTTAATGGTGGGAAGACAACTGAATTAAAACTGAAGTAACCAAGCTTATAACAGTGACCAAGGACCAGTCACTTTACTTCACCCGGAAATTGAGGGGAATGGAAGAGATATTTATTTATACCCTGTTTACTATCAAAAAAGCTTTGTAGTTATGAGTGCTTTCATAGATCTTTTCCAGCTCAGAAATTCTATAATTCCATAGCTGTATTAGTAAGGAAGGCTTTCTGCTCTGGGAAATCCCTGGTTCTGTAAGTGCTTAAAGGTATTAGAGGAAGGTTACAGATTCACTGGGACATTTAGAAATTCCTCAGTGAATACTGACAGCCTGTGGAAATACCATCTATCCATCAAGTTAAATGTTTTAGCCTCAGTGTCACATGTCAAAAGACCTAATATCATCTATACATCACCCTCCACATGGCTCAGGGACTGCCTAACTCATTTCTGGTAGAACATTCAGTGAAGTAATTACTCAAAAAAGATGCTAAGGTAAGAGAGAGCTACTTCACACTTGTCAGTTAAGTGATTTTCATTCTTGGACACATTTAATCCTTTTGTGGCTGAATTATGTTAGCAGAAAACTCTGTGAAATAAAGATGAGTGATGAACCTCCCCAATGATTCATTCATTTTGGAAGCTAGACTTTTGGAAGTAGAAGGAAAAAATAGGGATGTATCATAAGATAATGTTCTTAAGAGTATGCTTTGATGAAGGATCAAGAGGAGACATTCATTCAGCCAGTCTCTGTAAAGTGGTAACTTTCCTTTCCTTTTACTTTTTAGACTAAGCTTGGACTCTTGGTTAAGAGTGTAAGTTAAAAAAATGAGTTGAATGACTACATTCTGGTTAATCACTGTCAGATTGAGTAAATTCAGTGGAAGGAATTAAACTTTTTATTTGAACTTGAGAACCAGAATAACTGTGCAATGAAGGTCAGTATTTGAGTATTGACAAAGTCTGGGAATAGGATCGGTCCTTCACTTCCATTCAGGGTTAGGTTCTTTCAAAATGCATGCAGATGTTTTCCTGATGGCCTGTGGGTTAATTTCAAATTTAGTATTTTATTTGGAGTGGTAATGGAGGCGCTAGGTTGTTAGAAAATTCTGCTTGGTGACCTATGGTAGAATTTCTCTAATTGGTCTTCTGAAATTAGGGGAAGTCAATTCTCCTTACCTCTGATTTGACTTTCAATTTCTTTATCCCTGGCAACATTGAAACAAAAAATGTTAGTTATATCTGAATAATATGGTTGACAAATTGATGCCAATCAGCTTATATGCAGTCATGGTTGACTCTGTACACGTTAAAATTTTTTTTCCTACCTCAGTTTCTGCTGTGGTAAAAGTGGTAACAAAAATATCTGCTCTATCTTCCTTAAAGGGGAGGTGCTATAAACTTTTGTAAATTAAAAATGTTCCAATTGATGAAATGTACTGTGTTATATCAGCCACTCAGTTATATAAGGGGCTGTGTTAATATCAAGTAAAAATTATATTAAATTAAAAAGGCTGTGTTAGTAAAAATAATAATGATAAGAACTTATAATAATACTTTGTGCAAAGTAAATGCTCGATAAGGGTTAGCTATTTTTAATACTATTATTATTGCCATAATTATTTACAGTTGAAATAAGTCTAGTATGGTTGCACTTTAACAGTGTGAACTTTTCGCCAGGACTAATGTAAAAATATGTTATAGTAATATGGCAAATATCTGAACCCAGCTCTTTTAATTTTTTTCAAACAAATCTTCACAGTTCTGTAATTGGGCCAAGGAGTGTATGAAAAATATTCTAACACAAAATGAACATTTGCTTTTCCTTGACGCTGTATGTCAAGGACAATTTTTTCCCTGGATATGTTTTGCTATGATTAGTTTTAGCCAACTGCAGAATGCTGTGCTCCGCATTTAAACTCGTATGGTGCAAGGCATTTTTTCTCAGGCCTTGGGATCATATAAAGAAGAAGACATTTCAACTGCCATTCAAAATTCATAACAGGAAAAACATAAACACATGCATGTATAATACAAGCCGGATGTTGTGAGTTTTATGAGAGGTTCGAAGAGCCATGGGAATTAGGAGGGAAAAGATAAATGCTGTTTGAAAGAATTGGTAAAGGCTCCAGATTTCCTTCAAATGGTTTATTGTCAATCAGAATTAAATGTTCCTAATGACCCTCAATACATTCTTTTTCCACACTATTTTACCTTTAAACCATTTCAGTTAAAGGAAACACTGGAAAGTGACATGGTTGCAGAAGAAATGTTAGATATATCATAAATAATACAGTTGGAAAAAAGTTACTCTTGGTATCATTTTAGGACTAAAGGGAGAACGTGGTGACCAAGGAACAAGTGGAGTTCCAGGATATCCAGGAAAACCTGGAGAACAAGGTAGAGTGTGAGCTATATGTACTGTGTACAGCCACGTGTGCAGTCGAGCCCTTCATGCTCTTTCTGCTGTATTTCAGGTTATCAGAGAGGTAAGATGGAAATATAAATTCCTATTAGTCTCATAATTCAGTACACTGACTGGACGGAGTGTATGCAACACTGGTCTAGGAGTGTGGAGACTAGGTGAAAGTATCTGAGTTCGGTGTATCTTTTGAGCTGCCAATGGAAAAAAAAAAATCCCTGAATCTTTCTGGGTTTCAGTTACTTTGCTTGTAAGATTTTGGATTTGGATGGACGATGGAGACTAGGTGAAAGTATCTGAGTTCGGTGTATCTTTTGAGCTGCCAATGGAAAAAAAAAAAATCCCTGAATCTTTCTGGGTTTCAGTTACTTTGCTTGTAAGATTTTGGATTTGGATGGACGATATAGAGATTGAGAATACTTGGGTTGGGCCAAAATGCAAGGGGTAATGGAAGACAACAGGCAACTACAGTTGCAATATTCTTTGTTATCTTAAAAGTCAAAAAGAAAAAGAACCAGATATATGAATTCTGAATGTGCGCTATTGTTTCTTGGAGGCATTAACTTTTCCCCTTCTGAGAGCCTGGCATACTACAGTTGCAATATTCTTTGTTATCTTAAAAGTCAAAAAGAAAAAGAACCAGATATATGAGTTCTGAATGTGTGCTATTGTTTCTTGGAAGCATTAACTTTTCCCCTTCTGAGAGCCTGGCATGATGTAAATTGCTCATTTTAGGAGTCTCCAGGGTACAGCCATTACTGAGACAAGAACCAGGTTTCCAGGTCCCAATTAATAGGTTTCATTTCTACTTTTTAAGCTCCATGGTGACAGCATACTGTTTATAGCCTATGTGGTCCTTAACCATTATTTTGTTTTTCCATTTCAGGTGGACTGGGTCCTAAGGGGGATAAAGGAAACACTGGCCTGGCAGGCGTGAAAGGACAAAAGGGCTCAAAGGGGGACATGTGTGGGAATGGTACCAAAGGAGACAAAGGAGACCGAGGGGCCGTGGGCTCACCAGGCTTGGACGGAGGGCCTGGGGCCAAGGGAGAGAAGGGGGAGATGGGGGACCAGGGCTACCGTGGAGATTCTGGGGACAGGGGAGGAAAAGGACAAAAAGGCGAGGAGGGGATGAAAGGAGAGAAAGGTAGCAAAGGGGACCTGGGAGCAGAAGGCAAAGGCGGCCGGGATGGTCTGCCCGGAGCCAAAGGTGATCCTGGGGTTAAAGGAGAAAAGGGAGAGTTAGGTCCTCCTGGTCTCGTGGGGCCCGCGGGGCCTAAGGGCGAGCTCGGGAGCAAAGGGGTCCGAGGACCTATTGGGAAGAAGGGATCTCGGGGCTTCAAGGGCGCGAAGGGCGAGGTGGCCAGAGTCCCGCAGGCGGCTTTCAGCGCTGCTTTATCAAAGCCTTTCCCTCCTCCCAACGCCCCTATCAAATTCGACAAGGTTTTCTATAATGACCAAGGGAATTACAGCCCCGTCACTGGGAAATTTAACTGCAGTCTTCCTGGGACATATGTGTTTTCCTACCATGTCACCGTGAGGGGCCGACCTGCTCGGATCAGCCTGGTCGCCTGGAATAAGAAGCAGTTCAAGTCCAGAGAAACTGTGTACGGGCAGGAGATAGACCAGGCCTCTCTCCTCATCATCCTGAAGTTAAGTGCAGGCGATCAAGTCTGGCTCGAGGTGTCCAAAGATTGGAATGGGGTGTACGTCAGCCCCGAGGATGACAGCATTTTTACTGGGTTCCTTTTGTACCCAGAGGAAACCCCTGAAATTTCACCATAAATTTGTGTATTGAACACTGTAGTTTGGATTCAGTGGAATAAGTTGGTTAACCTAGAGCAGTGCTAGTAAAAATCTCTTTTTTTTATGTTTAGAAATAATACAGAAAAAGCAAAAAAAAAATTTATGTCACCTAGAGTCAATTACTATTCCTATTTTGAGGCATCTCCTTTAAAAAATATTTATGTTTGAGAGCATGTCTATTAACTTTGTAGCTAGCTTTTCTTCCATTTAGCATTATAGTGGCTTTACTCATGCCTTTTAAATGATTAATAACATGTGTATACCAAAATAAGACTGAGAGTTATAATTAATAAATATATTCTTACTAAATACTTTTTGTATCTCTTATAAATGTGTTACTCCTTTGTGTGTGAATGTGAGGCTAACAACTGACATACTATGGCAAGTCTTTCTCAAAATTTCTATTTCTCTTGGGAGGGTTGTCTTCCAACAAAATGAAACTATTCTTATGTTAGTTTAATTCAGGAAGAATATGCAGAAAGAGTGGTAAAGACTAGATAAAATGCCTTTTAAATTTAATTTATCAGTGTGTAAGGGTTTGCTCATAAAACTTATGTTTTACGGACTTGTGTGTTGGATAAAATGTAAAAAGAAAGTTGATTAAGATATTATTCAGTCATAGCAAAGATACAACCTTTCATCAAATTATTGTGCTTAGAAGAACTGAATGTCCTGGAATGATTCAAGAATAAAATTAAATCATTATTGATCTAAATTTCATCCCTTTCTTCATGGTAGAACATTTAATTAGGATAAATTCTTTGGCATCATTATTATCATCTCTATAATAATTAATTCCAGTTATTCAGTGATAACATTGCTGGAGCAGGTGGAGGTTTAAAAATTAATTTGCAATGTGAATGTTTAATAACTGTGAATATTTGATAATTCAGTGGTTTCTTTTTGTAAAAAGTGAATTTATTGAATCCAAATTGAATTTGGTTCTATGAAGGTAAAGTTATGCAGATCTGCAGATCTTGGTGAATCAAGTCAGGGAGTGGGTAATAGGGAAATTTCTGGTCTTGCTTTTCCAACTTGACAAACATCTTTCACTTTTGAGATTCTCATCCATGTGCATATTATAGCGGTGTTTCCCAAACTGTGTTCAGAGGAATACTATTTCTGGAAGTTGTTATTATGAACTACTGGAGAAAGAGTGGGTTCTGTGTCAAAAAATGTTAGAAGTGCTATATTCTATATCTCCCTCTTGAAGATTCATAAAGCACATTAGTGTAGTCTCTGACATTCCCTAAGAAACGGAATTTGTTTAATTTTGTTTTATCCAATGATCCCAAGTTTATTTTGAGTATAGAACTTATCAAGTAACATCCCATATATCTCCCTCTTGAAGATTCATAAAGCACATTAGTGTAGTCTCTGACATTCCCTAAGAAATGGAATTTGTTTAATTTTGTTTTATCCAATGATCCCAAGTTTATTTTGAGTGTAGAACTTATCAAGTAACATCCCGTGGAACAGTGTGCTGTAGGATGTTAATTTTAGAAATGTTGCATTAGTTTCTCATCCGAGCATTACCCAGCAGGTTGGGGTAACGTTCACTTTTGACATTTCTCTGTTCCTTCAGCAGTTCTCCCCTGCTTAGATTGTAATATTGCTTTAGCTGTGCTGGCTGTGCTTGTATTTGTCAGAGGGAGAATAAGGTAATTTACAAGTGATTAAAAAAGTGATTCTTACCCTTACAGTTTTCTTTCTTTTCCAATTTGAGGATTGGATAGTGAAGAGATTCAGGAATTCAGAGTTGTGTCTTTTGTTTGTATATTCTATGTTTGGTTTTTTTCTTTAAGCCTTCTCCATCACTGATTTGGAGGGATGTCGGGAGGCTGAGAGCCAACTGATCTAGGAAGATAGAAGAGAAAACCACACCAAAGGTTTTGATGTCAAAGGAAATGGGGCAGAGATGGGTAAGGGAGCAATAACTCCCATGTAGCGATTTATGATATCTGATAGTGTATTACACCTGTGTTTGCGGTAGATGTTTTACAGGAAGTATAAAGTTAAGAGCTCATGGTTAGGATCCAGGATTGGTGGTTAATTATGAGCTTTTTCCAGTGCATCCAAACCAGGGAAGTTGCTAGTGTCTGGGAATGGCTTTGGGAGGTGGGTTCTAGGTTCTTCACACCACTTTTTGCTACAAGGGTGGAGAAGTGGCACAACGGGGTATTCCCTTTTTCAAGTACATCATTTCCCATCCTGTTAAAAAGCAGAAAAACCAAGGGGGGGGAATCTCCCATCCCCCAAATTTGAATACAACCCTTACCCTACTCCTATCTAATGACTACCAAATATAAAGACCCAAATGCCAGCCCTGAGTATCAAACTGCTTAAACTGCTGGGAGTTAAACCGTCATCTCAAGCTCAACATGACAAAACCAAGCCTCTGAAATCCCCCCCACCCTGCTCCCCCTACAGCTTCCTTAATTCACATAATGGCAACTTCTTCTGTCCAGTAACTAGGGCCAAAAATCTTGTGTCATTTGATTTCTCTGTTTCACACTTAAATCCAATCTGTTGNTGGAACAGTGTGCTGTAGGATGTTAATTTTAGAAATGTTGCATTAGTTTCTCATCCGAGCATTACCCAGCAGGTTGGGGTAACGTTCACTTTTGACATTTCTCTCTTCCTTCAGCAGTTCTCCCCTGCTTAGATTGTAATATTGCTTTAGCTGTGCTGGCTGTGCTTGTATTTGTCAGAGGGAGAATAAGGTAATTTACAAGTGATTAAAAAAGTGATTCTTACCCTTAGAGTTTTCTTTCTTTTCCAATTTGAGGATTGGATAGTGAAGAGATTCAGGAATTCAGAGTTGTGTCTTTTGTTTGTATATTCTATGTTTGGTTTTTTTCTTTAAGCCTTCTCCATCACTGATTTGGAGGGATGTCGGGAGGCTGAGAGCCAACTGATCTAGGAAGATAGAAGAGAAAACCACACCAAAGGTTTTGATGTCAAAGGAAATGGGGCAGAGATGGGTAAGGGAGCAATAACTCACATGTAGCGATTTATGATATCTGATAGTGTATTACACCTGTGTTTGCGGTAGATGTTTTACAGGAAGTATAAAGTTAAGAGCTCATGGTTAGGATCCAGGATTGGTGGTTAATTATGAGCTTTTTCCAGTGCATCCAAACCAGGGAAGTTGCTAGTGTCTGGGAATGGCTTTGGGAGGTGGGTTCTAGGTTCTTCACACCACTTTTTGCTACAAGGGTGGAGAAGTGGCACAACGGGGTATTCCCTTTTTCAAGTACATCATTTCCCATCCTGTTAAAAAGCAGAAAAACCAAGGGGGGGGAATCTCCCATCCCCCAAATTTGAATACAACCCTTACCCTACTCCTATCTAATGACTACCAAATATAAAGACCCAAATGCCAGCCCTGAGTATCAAACTGCTTAAACTGCTGGGAGTTAAACCGTCATCTCAAGCTCAACATGACAAAACCAAGCCTCTGAAATCCCCCCCACCCTGCTCCCCCTACAGCTTCCTTAATTCACATAATGGCAACTTCTTCTGTCCAGTAACTAGGGCCAAAAATCTTGTGTCATTTGATTTCTCTGTTTCACACTTAAATCCAATCTGTTGGAAAATCCTCTTGGCACTTCCTGCAGTATGTATCCAGAATTTGATGACCTCTCACATCTTTGCTGCCACCTCCCTGGTTAGGCAACCATTATTTATTGCCTGCATTATTTCAGTAACCTCATAACTGGATTCCCCCAGGAGGTCCAGGGCCAAAGTGCAAATGGGCCCAACATACCATGTGTCAAAATATTTAAAACTTATGGATCAAGCTAACAAATGGTAATTTATAATATGTTTATCCTCCTATTTGCAATATATGCCTTTTTATTTTCAAAATAAGCTATAGTTTTTTATATGACTGACAGCAAACAAAATATCAAAGAGGAATGAATTTCTCCCGTGCACGTCTGGGTGTCCTATTAATGGGCAGATGATGTTTGGATGAATAATAAGATAAAGACATTAATTCATAAATTAGTACCTACTTATCCAATAGATGTTATTTTTAAAACTTAAATTTCAAAAAAATGATATGTTTCATAATCAAGATTTTTCACATAATTCATGTTCTATTGACAGTTTTGTCAAATTAGACCACCTTTGTTGTCATTGTATTTCTTAGTAATTTTAAAAAATTTATTTCAATTTGGAGAAACTTTACTCAGCTGAATTGGTGATAAGGTTTAAAAATAAACAAGGAATTTTACATATCATGATCAAATATTGTAATGGGGGCTGCATAAGATACATTATTACTATTGTAGACAATATTGCAAAATACTTAAATTTCATCATATAAACCAATGATCACTTATATTGACATTTCACCATCTCTTAATACACTATTCTAGAACCTAGATCCATCATGGATTTTCTGTCTAGACCTACATAAATACAAATTTAAGAGAGATATAAATTGTTTATTATTGAATGATATACTTTAGCCATTAAGTGTGCAACGCCTGTAAATGCCATGAAAGTCATGAGAATCTCAAGAATGATAAAGTGGAACACAAAGAAAAGCAAGGAAATGAATGCCTGGCAGAACTGAGCTCTAATACTTTGTTATCTACAGCACATATGCTCTCCTTGAGGAAGGACTTGGTAAGTTAAGTTGTGTTTCTCTAAATTAGGCACCCCCATGGCTCCACTCCTCTTACCCTCCAAAGCTGTGTCCATACCCATGTTTGCAGCAGCACAACCCACTAACCTGGATGGC